TGAATGCCTAATAAAGGGTGTGGTGGGTGGGCTGAACCAGGAGGTCCAAGCCCAGACGAAGGGGAGGCCTGTGAATTTATAGGCCGGATAAACCTCTCCTACAACTTCAGGCTCCACCTTTCCATTTGTAGTCGGGGACAATAAGCAGAGTTACAGTAGTGGTATAAGTCGGTTGTGGTGTGCCGAAACCAATGTTCGGGTAGGCCTGTAAAAGAAGGCAAAAATGTAACAGTTTAATCCTTAGTATGTGTTACATAGAAACATAGAATGTGACGGCAGATAAGAACCATTCGGCCCATCTAGTCTGCCCAATTTTCTAAATAATTAATTAAATACTAATTAGTCCCTGGCCTTATCTTATAGTTAGGATAGCCTTATGCCTATCCCACGCATGCTTAAACTCCTTTACTGTGTTAACCTCTACCACTTCAGGTGGAAGGCTATTCCATGCATCCACTACCCTCTCAGTAAAGTAATACTTCCTGATATTATTTTTAAACCTTTGTCCCTCTAATTTAAGACTATGTCCTCTTGTTGTGGTAGTTTTTCTCCTTTAAAATCTAGTCTCCTCCTTTACTGTGTTGATTCCCTTTATGTATTTAAATGTTTCTATCATATCCCCCCTGTCTCGTCTTTCCTCCAAGCTATACATGTTAAGATCCTTTAACCTTTCCTGGTAAGTTTTATCCCGCAATCCATGAACCAGTTAAGTAGCCCTTCTCTGAACTCTCTCTAAGGTATCAATATCCTTCTGAAGATACGGTCTCCAGTACTGTGTACAATACTCCAAGTGAGGTCTCACCAGTGTTCAGTACAATGGCATAAGCACTAACTTCTTTCTACTGCTAATACCCTTCCCTATACAACCAAGCATTCTGCTAGCATTTCCTGCTGCTCTATTATATTGTCTGCCTCCCTGTTGACATTACATAACCAGTACTTTAAATGCCTGTCTCAGTTCCCTCTCCGTTTGAGGGATATCTGGTGGATGCAGATGATTCCAATGTCCCAGTTTATGATGTGCGCTGGGATATTTACTAAAGTCTGCAGAAGCAGTGCTTATTCTAAAAGAATGACCTGAATATGTTGAAGGGTCGTATCAGAGTTATATGAATTGTGTCCGGACGTACAGGATGAATTTGATGTAGTGAGTGGTTACCATGTAACCTTAAAAGAGAGTGTATGCCTGTGAAGTCCTGTGAGTGTTGGACAGTTGGTCTTGTATGTTGGCCTGGCCCCATTTATTGTTGATAGTATGTAGGTATATGATAAGTGTTTGTTAGATAATTTAAGGTTGAGGTGGCAAAAGGATTTGAATGTCACCATGGTATCGATGGAGTACGGATTGACGATTCGATATTCGGAAGTGAACTTATTAAAATGGCCAGAGTTCTGATATATAAATGGTTGGTATAAGCAGATAGAGCCGCGTGTGCCAGCAATCTACCATGACCAGAATGAGATCCTGGAATGTAGGAGTGTGGTTAAGCAGCCATGGAATGTTTGGAGGAATACCTGAAATGGGATTAAGACAAGGCTTCAGTTGCCATGTTGTGACAGGCTGGTATGTGTATGCAAACAAGGTAAAATTGCTGTGTTGCTGCCAGTCAAGTGATTTTGCATACTGCTGTATTAGAGTAGTAATTGACAGACTTCCTCGCCCATAGAGACCCCCAGGCTTGTGCAGTGGCTGCAATGGACTATACTTAAACGAGAGCTGAAGTTTACTAAAAGAATAGGCTTCATGTCTCTGCGGGCCATGTGTCACAGATCCAGTTCTCCTTGATAACGGCTGCAAACCCAGTCTAAAACAACAGGGGAATCGTTGGTCAGTGGCTGATACACTGGACACTGTCCGCACGGGGCCGGGCTGTATTGACAATAAGTCAAGATGTACGCCTAGTAATATTACAGGTATAGGCCTATGGTATATCTTTGGGTAGTGCACGTACCCCCAGGTGTAGAATTCAGTTACCTTAGGGGTACACGAAAAAATTTATGTAAAGGCGGCATTTACTTCCACAGGGCCCATCATGTGCAGCTGCACACTTTCTCCGTGTCCTGGGATTTACAGGCAGCCGAGCACTGTCAGTCTCTGCTTGCCTGGTACTTGTGGCGTGGCCACGCCCCCTTGACTCCTCATTGGAGTTTCCACTCACCGCATCACATGGCAGGCAGACTGAAACAGAGGAGATCGTGCACATGACACACACTGAATAAGGCAAGAGAGTTCCCTTTTGGTTATTACACTGTGCCTCCCTACCCACACTGTCACTCTCCCTCCCACACTGCCCCCAAACTGTCACCCTCAATCCCAGAAGAAAAGTAGGGGAGCTTGGGGCAGGAGACAAGCAGGGGAGCCTGTGGCAAGAGAAGAGCAGGGGAGCCTGTGGAAAGAAAAGAGCGAGGGAGCCTATGGCAAGAGAAGAGCAAGGGAGCCTGTGGCAAGAGAAGAGCAAGGGAGCCTGTGGCAAGAGAAGAGCATGGGAGCCAGGGACTGAGAAAGTGCATGGGAAAAAGTGGGGGAGGCGTGGGCAGAGGAGAAGCAGGGACTGCCTGTGGCAGAAGAGGAGCAGGAGAGCCATAGGCAGAAGAAAAGCAGGGGAGAGCTTGAGAAGAAGGGGAGCCTAGGGCAGAGAAGGAGCATGGGAGACAAAGGACAACAGAAAAGTAGGGGAGCCATTAGTAGAGGAGGAGCAGGGATGCCATGGCAGAAAAAAAGCAAGGAGAACCTGGGACAGGAGAGAAGCAGGGAGAACCTGGGGAAGAAGAAAAGCAGGGAAAGCCTGGGGCTAAGGAGAAGCAGGGGGAGCCTGGGGAAAAAGAAAAGCAGGGAGAGCCTGTGGGTGAGGAGGAGCAGGGGAGCCATGGGCAGAAGAGGAGCAGGTGAGCCATGGGCAGAAGAAAACCAGGGAGAGCCTGGGGCTGAGAATGTGCATAGGAGCCTGAAACAAATGAAAAGTGGGGGAGACATGGGCAGAAGAGGAGCAGGGAGAGCCTGTGCCAGAAGAGGAGTAATGCGAAGAGGAGAAGCGGGGGGGGGGCGTAGGAAGAGGAGAAGCAGGGGGGGCATGAGCATAAGGAAAGGAGGGGAGAGCCTGGGGCAGAAGAAAAGTAGGGGGATGAGCCTGGGGCTGAGGAGCAGCAGGGGAGCCCAGGGCAAGAGAAAAGCAGGGGAGCAATGGTCAGAGGAGAAAAACAGTGCGAGCCTGGGGCTGAGAAAAAGCATGGGAGCCTGGGGCAAATGAAAAGCAGGAGAAAAGCATGGAGAGCCTGGGGCAGCAGAAAAGCAGAGAGAGCCTAGGGAAGACCATTTTATACCCTTTATACCGTGCAAATGCCACAGAGACATCCACTGTGGCATGTTGCAGGGAACTAATTTGGAATGAATTAGTGAAGTTAGGCAATCTATGACGAGACCAAATTGATGTCTTTGCCTACCAATATGTACTTCCTAATGACAGAAGAATTAAATGTGCTGGTGAAATAACACGAACAGAAGGAATGTGTGCCGGACTGTAACTTGTGATGTTACCCTTAGTGGATGAATGTAAGGGGTACATAGTAGAGCACTCTGTCTTAGAGTTAGGAACTCCTGAGTTAGGAGACTCTAATTCTCTAGACCACGGGTCGTCAACCTGGTCCCTACCGCCCACTAGTGGGCATTTCAGGATTCCAGGTCGGCGGTATGGGTTATGGTGGCACAACAAGCTAATGCTAAATCCTTCTGAGAGAGTGGGCGGGCGCGAGTGCACAAACACAAATGCAAGTATGAACGCATGCAAACTCATGCAAGCACGAGAATGTGTGCACGCGAACAAGAGAACGCGTGCGAACGTGCCAACGCGAGTGTAACACGTGGGAAGAGGAAGGGGAGGAGTGGGAGCTGATGCACGATAGCAGGGACAGGCAGACGCAGAGCAGTTGTAAAATAAGAGAAAGAAAAGTTATAGGCAGGACAAGGAGAGAATGGTTGTTGGCTAATAATAATAAGTGGGCTAATTAGCTCAGCCTTACTTTTGTACAATGCCATAAGGAAGGTAAAATAAAAGCATTACACCCTTAAGGACACATGACATGTGCGACATGTCATGATTTCCATTTATTCCAGAAGTTTGTTCCTTAAGGGGTTAAAAAAAGGAGATAAAAAGGGAAGAAAAATAGAAAAAAGGGGATAAAATAAAGGAGCAGAGTACTTATAGAATAGAAGAAAGAAGGAGCAGATTACTTGTAGAATAGGGGAAAGAATGAGCAGAGTACTTGTAGAATAGGAGAAAGAATGAGCAGAGTATTTGTAGAATAGAAGAAAGAAGGAGCAGAGTACTTGTAAAAATGAGAAAGAAGGAGCAGAGTATGTGTAGAATATGAGAAATACGGAGCAGATTACTTGTAGAATAGGAGAAAGAAGGAGCAGAGTACTTGTAAAAAGGAGAAAGAAGGAGCAGAGTACGTGTAGAATAGGAGAAAGAAGGAGCAGATTACTTTGTAGAATAGGAGAAAGAAGGAGCAGAGTACTTGTAAAAAGGAGAAAGAATGAGCAGAGTACTTGTAGAATAGGAGAAAGAAGGAGCAGATTACTTGTAGAATAGGAGAAAGACGGAGCAGAGTATGTGTAGAATAGGAGAAAGAAGGAGCAGATTACTTATAGAATAGGAGAAAGAAGGAGCAGATTACTTATAGAATAGGAGAAAGAAGGAGCAGAGTATTTCTAAAAAGGAGAAATACTTGGGAATTAAATAACCTCTTCTAGTTCCGTGGTGAGAGACATACTATGATAAATGAACAATGAGTAAATGTAATGTGCATCTTGATGAGAGTGTAGCCCTGTATCAACTGGCAGCTCGCAAAGTGCCGGATTCAAGGGTGCCAAGCAGTAACCGATGAAGAGATACTGCAATTGTTCCTGTTAGAGCATTTTTACAATGGCATGGACCAACAAGGGAGAGAGTGGCTCTGAGATCGCCGACCCACTACACTAAACGAGGCGTCCAAGTTAGCCGATGAACACTACGATTCGCAATTACACGAATCGTCCAACTACCGACCGGCGGCTCAAGCCTAAACCAGGGAAAACGACCGAATGCCAGCTCGGAACCATTTCAGGGCTCCAGTGTCAGCGGGACCCACCTGGTACTCAGGACCACCCAATAGCAACGCTCCAGACCGGGCCCGGCCAACCTGTTATCGGTGCAAACAACCCAGGCATCTTATGGCCAGCTGTCCACTAAACAACCACCATACCTCACGGAGCTCTAATACTCGCTCGAGCCCTCCTCAGCCAGCCAGGGCTCTTTGTGTCAACCAGGAGGGTCCCATGGAAGAATACCTAGGACCCCTTCACGAGGCCGATCCTGTATATGCCGCCTCTGACAACCTACCCATACCCGACTTACTAGAAAAGACCTCGCATCCTGACACAGGTACAGATAGGAGACCGGCTTAACCAGACTGAGAGGAAGCAGCTAAACAAGCTACTGCAAGTTAAGTGGTCCACTTTTTCCCAAGACCCAGGGTACACCAACCTAACCACCCACTAGGTAGATACCCCAAGGCAACAAGGCAAATGAAAAGCAGGAGAAAAGCATGGAAAGCCTGGGGCAGAAGAAAAGCAGGGAGAGCCTAGGGAAGACCATTTTATACCCTTTATACCGTGCAAATGCCACAGAGACATCCACTGTGGCATGTTGCAGGGAACTACTTTGGAATGAATTAGTGAAGTTAGGCAATCTACGACGAGGCCAAATTGATGTCTTTGCCTACCAATATGTACTTCCTAATGACAGAAGAATTAAATGTGCTGGTGAAATAATACGAACAGAAGGAATGTGTGCCGGACTGTAACTTGTGATGTTACCCTTAGTGGATGAATGTAAGGGGTACATAGTAGAGCACTCCGTCTTAGAGTCAGGAACTCCTGAGTTAGGAGAATCTAATTCTCTAGACCACAGGTCGTCAACCTGGTCCCTACTGCCCACTAGTGGGCGTTTCAGGATTCCAGGTCGGCGGTATGGGTTATGGTGGCACAACAAGCTAATGCTAAATCCTTCTGAGAGAGTGGGCGGGCGCGAGTGCACAAACACAAATGAAAGTATGAACGCATGCAAACTCATGCAAGCACGAGAATGTGTGCACGCGAACAAGAGAACACGCCCCCTACAGGATCCCCGAAGCAGTTTGGGCAGAAATGAAGAAGGTGATCGATGAGATGCTCCAATTAGGGGTCATCGAGTCTTCCGATAGTCCCTGGGCTTCTCCAGTAGTCTTAGTACCTAAGAAGGACGGGACTACCCGATTCTGTGTGGATTATTGGAAACTTAATGATAAAACTGTGACGGACGCCTACCCATTGCCCAGAATAGATGAGCTACTCGATTGTTTTGCCAGGGGAAACTACCTAACGACCATTGACCTCTGTAAAGGTTATTGGCAAATCCCCCTGGCCAGGGAGGCTATCCCCAAGTCGGCATTCGTCACCCCATTCGGCTTGTACCACTTTAAGGTTATGCCGTTTGGGATGAAGAATGCCCCAGCTACATTCCAGCGCTTGGTAGATAGACTCCTTGATGGCTTCCAGGATTTTGCCTGTGCATACCAGGACGACATAGCGATCCACAGTGAGTCCTGGGAGGAACACTGTGTTCACGTTGGAATGGTTCTGGATCAGATTCGGGCTGCTGGCCTGACCCTGAAGCCAGAGAAATGTCATTTTGGAATGGCAGAGGTTCAGTACCTGGGTCACCAGGTGGGGTGTGGAAAGCAGCGACCAGAGCCGGCTAAGATAGAGGCAGTTGCCAACTGACCCACCCCCCAAACTAAGACCCAGGTCCTAGCCTTCCTGGGCACGGCTGGGTACTACAGGCGGTTCGTGCCAGACTACAGTTCTATAGCCAAACCTCTGACCGACCTGACAAAGAAAAACCTTCCCTCACAGGTCCTGTGGTGTCCCCACTGTGAAGCAGCCTTTTAGGCTCTTAAAACTGCACTGGTTAATGCTCCTGTCTTGGCTGCCCCAGCCCCTAACAAATGCTTTATTGTCCATACAGACGCTTCCATGATCGGGCTGGGGGCATTCCTCAGCCAAGTAGGAGAAGACTGAGGGGAGCACCCGATTGCCTACATCAGCTGAAAGCTCCTGCCACGTGAGGTCAGTTATGCCACAGTGGAAAAGGAGTGTTTGGCCCTGGTGTAGGCACTAAAGAAACTAACCCCATACTTGTATAGTAAGAGTTCACTCTGGTTACAGACCATAACCCATTGGTGTGGCTAAACCGGGTCTCAGGAAACAATGGAAGACTATTATGTTGGAGCTTGTCCCTACAGCCATTTAACTTCACCATTACCTACAGACCCGGGAAACAGAATGGCAACACCGAAGGGTTATCCCGGCAGACAGACCTCAGTCCAGCATAACCATAGTTCTGGACCGTGTCTGCCAGAGTGTTCCACAAGGAGGGAGCCATGTTATGGAAGCCTCTTTGTCTGCTGCAAGATCAACAGTTTGCCCTATCGTTACATTATTATTCCGTTTATAACTGCAATGGATGTTTTATTTGTTATTGCCTACCTGAATACTTTGTTGTATGAATGAGCCCTGTTACCCGTTCGTACATACGAACAGCTGACCACCCAGCCCTTGGCGTGCTCCGCCACTTAACCCCAGTCATTTTTTAAATTACCGAAAGACTGGGCGAACGATCGACCACCCTGAGTGGGGAGTGTGCTGACAATCAACCTCCCGGGAGCTGCGGTTTGTGGTTAACCGCAGCCTAATTGACTGGCATCAGGGTGGCCCCCATTCCTACGTAATTGGTTGAACGGAGTATCCACCAAAACACAGAAAGAACTCCCGACCACTGACCACCTAGAGACTGGCGTGTGGCCCCAATAAACCTGCGGTTCCTGTGGTTAACCGCAACATAATTACTTATTCCAAGGTGGTCGCCGATCGTATGCCAAACACGAAGCGGCGGCCATTTTTTGTTGTCGAATGCCCAGCGGGCCCTAAGCACCAAACTCCTGGAACTAGAATCGGCTGCTGATTTACACAAATCCCGCTGAGATGTCGGATGTCCCATCCATTCGTGTAACACCATACGGACAAACTATTATTTTGGGACTTTTTCACACCGTTCGTGAAATCAGAGTGCCATTCGGATATTTTGTGCGCTCAGATCTGAGCTATCCAGAGAAGGGTTGAACGGGATATTTTAGTACAGAAATGTGAAAGTTATCTATTTTTATACTGTTTTAGGTGCATAATAAAACATGGGTATTTTCATGTGCCTGGAGATAATTAGGTTATTGTAACCATTGATTCCAATTATCTCCAGGGTAGGAGGGAGTGTTTTCAGAAGATGCACTTTGTTCTTATTGGTTGGGACAACGTATTGTACAATGTACCATCAGGTCCAGAGGGGTTGTCCTCTGTCCTGGTAACTTGCATAAATTGCCAAAAATTAGTGCCATTAAAGCCAGTTCGTTTTACCCTCAACTCGCACCCTCAACTCGCAGCCTCAACTCGTGTTGTAGGGAATATTGTATCCTAGCTTTGCTATAGCTAGTGGGATGTTCTACATTTACCGGAATATCGTTGGATGCTGATCTGAACAACGCTCTCAACCCTCCAAGTTCGGGAACCAGGATATTCAAGCCGTCCATCCTCCAGCGAGGCCGGAGGCAACCGTGACAGCCTCACTAGGCCAAGACCAGCTTGCTTGTTTGGAGTTCAGGTAGTTTGTGTTGATGACCTTTGAACCGGAAGTAGGTGGTTCTGTACTGAACCAGGAAGTCTCAGCCCGGAGGAAGGGTAGGCCTGTGAATTTATAGGCCGGATAAATCCCTCCTACAACTACAGGCATGAAGTTGATTTGCATTAACAATGAAACAGCTGTCCATGAGTGGTTCACTGGCTTTGCATCTTTTCCTTAGTGTTTCAAAGCTGTTGTATACAGCAAACATAGACTCAAAGGAATTCCTGTTTAAAATGGAATGAGGCAAAAATGTGATTCCTTGTTAAACGAATTTGCACATGCCCACCCAGAATCCTTTGCAGTAGTAACATCACTTGTGATTTCTGTGGGAAAAGCAAGTCTTATGGCTTAACTGGTGTGCAGATTTTTGTTTAACATTGTAATATATATATATATATATATATATATATATTTTTTTTTTTGGTTCTCTCCTCACAAACTAGTTAGATCACAATAATAATACGTATACAGGAAACTTGCAATGCGAGACCTTTTATGGGGGCTCTGGGCCATACAAGAGCACTATACTAGCCTCAGGCCACTGAAGGAGCCAATACCTGATTTCCACAGGCCCAGCTACACAAGGTGCTCAATTCCATATTCTTTGGGGGTCTAAACGTGAATTAAAAGCATAAGAATTGGTGTGGGTGGTGTAAAGGATGTGTTACAACCCGTTTGCCCTGTGTCTCCATGATTGCCAAAGCTCCCAAGCAGCCATAGTGGTCTTTGTATGGGGGAAGAAGCTGCTACAACAGCGTTCATATATACAATGCATTTTTATTTCCCTAGGAAAGGAGGGAAACATTTTTGGGATGTAGATTTCCACGCTCTCGCTATAGACCGCTGGGCTGTCAAAATAATATGAGATATTAATTTCCTCTTATGCGCATGAACGGTACTATGCAGGTGGCCGTGTCCAACACCAATTGGTGGACTGATTTTAAATATCGAGTAAGTACTGGACACTGCCACCAGATGTGTAACATAGGGCAATCTGTCTGGTCACATCTCCAGCACATTTTGGACGTGGTTAGGAAAATCGAATGTAGCCGCACTGGGACCATGTACCATCTATACAATATCTTTTTATGTTGTTTAATAAGAGTCACGGATTTAAGCAGTTTTTTAGGGTTAGTGATCAGTGAATCCCATTGTTTGTGGGAGATTGTGCATTGCAGGTCAGTAGACCATTGATTAGCCTGTTTCGATTCAAAATAAGAAGTGTCCGATACCAGTGAGTTATGGCACACGGAGATCAGTTTACATTTGTAAGGTAGCTTTTGATTCATACAGATTTCTTCCCATTTGGTTAGGCCTTTAATGTCATCTGCTATGGGGGTATCTCGTGGTTTGTGTTTCCGCAGGAAGGAGTGTAGCTAAAGGTGCGAGTATTGCGATGTTAAGGGTAGGTTATGTGTAGATGATAGGACTATGTAGTCTGCCAATTCGTTGCCTTCATAGGCTTGGCTTAGATGTGTAATCCTGCAGTCCCTCCACGGTTTAGCATGGAATGTAGGTAAGCAGTGTACGAGTGCCATGATTGGGGTTGCCATAGAGAAGGAGATGGAGTTGGTCAGTTTGGTTCAGTTGATGTCCCATATTTGGATCACTAGTTTCACTTGTGCAGGCGCCAAGTGGGTGGGTGGTCTTGACTTTTTAGGTAACAAAAGTAAGTGTGTTATGGTGAAAGGTTGAGTCAGTTGTTGTTCTACGGCTACCCATTGTGGGGGTGAGTCAGGGAGGAAGTGTTGCATGGAGGACGCCAATATAGAAGCATGATAGTACATTTTTACATTGGGAAAGGCAAATCCTCCCAATTTCACCAGCGTTTGTAACAGCTGGTGGGCCACTCTTGGTCTCCCTCCCGCCCAAACAAAGTGAGTTAGGTCTTTCTGTATCATAGCGAAACAGATGTGCAGTATGGGTATCGGTAATGTGCAGAATAGGTATTGTAGTCTTGGGAGGATAGACATCTTTAAAGAAATGATTTGTTCTGTCCACATAAGGAATAGTGGGGTCCAGGTGTGGAGTAGTTTTTTTGCAATCTTTCCAGACTCTGAGGTAGTTTTTAACAAAAAGGTCTGTGTTGTTTTTTGTAAAGGTCACCCCTAGATAGATTAAGTCATTTCTCCTTCAATCAAAGGTATACTGCTGTCTGAGGGGGTCGGTCATTTGTTTAGGGAGGCCAATGCTTAAAGCCTGTGTTTTACTTGCGTTCAAGGAGTAATACGATACTGATACTCATTTTTATGTCTCGTCCCCCTAAGGGAAGGGGAAGGGGAAAGGAATCCTGCCTGTAGGACTTGAGCAGCGGGGTTCGCATATTGTGCAAAAATTTGTGTGATAGTCTGACTGGAAAACCCATATGATCTCAGTGTCTGTGTCAGTAACTGGCAGCCGAGGCAGTCAAGTGCCTTTTCCACGTCCAAGGCCAGCAGTAGACCGCCCAGCCATCCCCAAGTGCTCCAACACCAGGAACAGCTTCCGCGTATTGTCGAGCCCCTGTCTCCTCTTAACAAATCCAGTCTGGCTGGCTGTGATAATATGGGGTAAACTGGGGAAAGTCGATTGGCTATAATCATAGCATAAATTTTGGCGTCGGTATTGAGTAAGGAGATAGGACGTAGATACGAAGACGTATCATGGGGCTTCCCCGGCTTGGGTAAAGTGACAATCGGAGGGAGAAGCATCTCCGGCGGTAGGGAAAAGGTGAGGGGCAAGAATATTAGAGAATTTCTTATAACAAGAAGTCGTCAGGCCGTCCGCCCCTGGTGATTTGCTAGAGGGTAGTTTCTGGATCACCTTTATGATTTTGTCTAGGGTGATAGGGCTAAGTAAGGTGTTAATTTGGCATTGGGTAAGTCTTTTCCGTCTTCTACCTTTAGGATCATCTGCTGTGTCTAGTTGAAGGGACTGAATAAAATTCTGGGTTGAGAACCTAAAGTACGCCTGATGTGGCATTACCACCAGAGAGTGTCGGAGTTGGATAGTATCATACTTTTTGAGAAAAAGGTTATTGACAAAGGGTATAGCTGAGCGTGGAGATTGTAGTGTCTCATATCTGGGAGGTGATCAGTGGTAAGGGTGAAAAAGAGAGGTGGGGAAAACTAATGGGGATATAGTTGGTGATGGGTGAACAACAATGGGGTAATGACCCCAATACAGCTCTAAAAACCAGAGCCTAGGTGCACCGACAAACATTCGGTCACAACTACGTGGGGATCGTGGCTGTGAGGTACTCCGAACAAGAAAGTTCCTCAAAAGTAGGAACCGGTAGGAGCTATAAATATATATTTTTTATATTAATGTGTAAGTTAACCCCAAAACTATGAACAAAAGAATACATGGTTTATCTAACATCCCAGGAGCCCTAAACCATAGATACCAATCAGGGATTGTCTTGGAATCTTGTTCTGTCTTGTGGGCTGGGTCGCAGGTACAGGTATGCCTTATTCGCTGAGTTTTTTGAAGCCTCCTTCTAACGTGGTGATCGGGTACAGGACATCTTGATGGAAGATCAGCAGTTTGGCTAGATATCACCATCTGTAATTCATATCCTTGGAGCGCAGTGCGGTGGTAACGGGTGAGCGTTTTTTCCAGAATTGGAGAGTAGCTGCTGGTTTATCTGCGAAAATCTTGATCTGGTTGTAGGGCACTCTGGCTATAACATCTCTCGGTGTTGATGTCGGCAGATGCTTGGGCCTTCGTAGCCTATGTGCTCTGTCTATCAGGTGTCAGGTGTTGGTCAGGGTGGATGGCTGGCATGATCGCTTGGCACATATCCATCAGGTAGTCCTCTAGATCCGTGTTCGAGACGGGCTCCGGAATGCCTCTGAAGTGGAGGTTATTCCTGCAAGACCGGTCTTCAATATCAGCCAGTTTAATCCTATGTGCTTCCAGGATGGTGTCCAGTTCCTGCATTTTGTCCGCCAAGCAATTATGTGCACCTACATAGTCGCCCATCTTCTTCTCGATATGCAAGGTGCGCAGGCCAGTGTAGGCCAATGAAAACCACAACGGAAACAATTTATAGAATGCTCCCCTGGGTGGCCATTTTGTCTCCTGAACGCAGGCAGAGGTACTTGGTCGTCGAGTGCCTGGAACTGATTTCGGCTAGGCAGTCCCGCGAACACCAGTGAAGATGGAACTGCTGCCCATTCAAGTTCCTGACCACCTATAATAACGGGGTTTGGGAGATACGAACTACCGACTGGGGGAGCATTCGACACTTGAAAGCTTTCGTATGTTGTGTATGGTCCAGGTGGGAAGCAACGGCGAGACCCCAGCCAAGCTGCGGCTAGGGGCTGAAGTGCTGATGGTGTTCCAGCAATAGCTAGGAAACGTGTTTGGTGGAGGTACCCAGTCGGGGTACCAGGCGGTCCGCCACAGGAGCTTTTCCTGGAGCGTGGATCACCGCCATTTTGGCTAGGTGTGCGGCCTTCCCGGGACTTCAGCACATTACCTCGCGCCAGAAAAAATGAAAAAATAATCCGCTTTTGCAGCCTTGGTCTTGTGTCACTGCAACATTATAGCTTGTTATAAGGTCGATTTCTGCTGTGAGAGTGTAAACTCTGTAGATCCACCCAGGATTGCTAGGTTACTAAGTGTGCTAATTCTAACCCAGGGTATACCAAAGTTGGAGACTTTTTAACCAGCTTAGCCATTTTGCCTAAATATAACAAGTTTTTATTTCAACTTACTATAGTGCACCGTTTAGTGAATAGTGGAATTAAGGTTATTTTTATAACCAATATTGCAAGCGACAATGTAAGTACTCTGGTTATAAAATCTTCCTTGCACTGCTTGTTGTGTGTATTAAAACACCATAATAAGGCCATAAAATCTTATTAAAACTAAACAATATTTTCCTGTTTTCCGCCTAGGCTTTTATGGCTTTTCCATAACCGCTTTCCGTAATTTAACTCCGTATAAACTAATTTAATGAATGTTGTAAAAAGACAACAGCATGGAATTAATTAGGGAGGGCGCCTCGTGTTTAATTAATCATTACTTCCAGTCACATTCAGTTGCTGATTATATAACAAGATGTAAAAGGTACTTTTGTCTTCATTAATGTAATCACTGGGGGGGAAAAAAAAAATATAATAGTTTAACGGGGACCATTCGTTCCTCTTTGATTGACCTTTTTTTACTAATCTGATAGCAATGTATAGAAACATTCCTCCCTTATTTGTTATTTTCCTATCTAAACATGTTTTAATCTATGAAACCATACCACATGGCACTTACACTCTCAATAGAAAGTGTTGCATTTTGTGTAAACTCTAGAACAGGGGTAGGCAACCTTTGGCACCCCAGATGTTTTGCCAGCATTATGGTATATGTAGTCCACAAAACCTGGAGTGCCAAAGGTTGCCTAACCTTGCTCTGGGTCATCTGCTAGCAACATTTCCCTATTCTTCAGATTAAATGCATCCCGTTTCACACTAATCTATCCTCAGGAACAGACCGAAAGTGCTTAATGTAAAATGGCAATCTGCAAGTTTTCCTCGGGCTTATGATACAGGTATACCTTAATCCATCCAGGAGGGCAATGTGTGACCCATCCAAAACCTGCCCTCAACCTGCACCCCTTCATATGTGCTGCACATAATCTGCACCCAAAGGCATGCAGCTTAAGTGCAGCACCTAGGAAGGGGAGCATGTTGAGGGCAAACCATCCAAAAGGGTGCAGACCCATCCAAAAAGGCAGAGGCAACGTTTGACGCAAACAAAAAGGCACACGTTGAATGTGACTTATTCAAAGGGTTCAGGAAAGACTCACCCAAAAGGATAAAGGAAGGTTGTGACTCATCCACAGAGTAACCCATCTATAGACGTAAGTCCGTGTATACAATTAAAAGAGTGTCATTGATCCACAGCTTAGACAGAGTAACTCATCAATAAACCTATTGATAAAAACCATCAATACGGTAAAGAGGATATTAGCGAGTACCCAGTATGCAGGTACAAAGGAGTACAGGGAAAGCATACCCCACCCACAGGTCAATGGGAGATATTTAATATTTTACCTTTTTTTCTTGGTCACAAAATGATTGAGGAATCAACACCTAAACAAAATCAATCAGAATAAAGAGATTATGTTTGCATTTCTCTGGTTTGTGTATTTTTATACATTATAAATAGCCACATGATTCTAGCCAGCATCTAACAAGACGAACAAAAAATGGCCTCTGTGGTTTCCAAGATAAATCCCATTTTTAATAAGCAGTAAAGCACTCATGGACCTTTTTAATCTGGAACAAGTAGTACTAAAAATGTATCTCCATTTAAAGAGGTTTAAATTGAAAAGAAAAAAAAACCTTTAAATTGTTTACAATATAAAATTAAAATGATCAGTAAAACTAATATTGATTAATGAAAGGTCAGTGATTAACAGGTTGGTCTGGTTTTATCCTCTTTGAGGCCTACTGGGAAAAACAAATTGACCAGTGATAACCTACAGACAAGCACAGAGTGTAAAGTAAAAACGTTAAGGGGGGGGGCGTGGTCTGAGGTCGGAGCGAGCTGGACGCACCCGAGTGAAGCTCCGCTGAGAACGCCAGACCAACAGCTAATAAAAGCTGCAGCACAAAATAAAATCAACGAGGGGGCGGGGCCGGACCGCCGAGCAGAGTGGACGCATGGCACTAGAGCTCCCGCTATTTTCGGGCAAAATATGGCCCCAAAACGCACTTTCTGGCACTGAGTCACGGCAGGCAACTGCACTATGAGGTGCTAGGACCGGAGATCAATCGGCAACCCGCTTCTGGACCCGTGTTTGGCGCGAAAACGGAGTTTCGAGACCGAGGCCTAGCCAACCTATCCGGGTGGTGAGTGGGGCGGACGGCCGCTGCCCTGCTATCCTACCTGGCTGCATCACGGAGGTCCCCTAACACAATGGGGTGATGGCCCTGCTTCCCCCCCTCTGGGCCGGTGGGGGTTATCCCGGCCTACCCTGGGGAACTACCTCGAACGGGGACTTTGTTTGCAACCTAAGATGGCGGCTGAGCCTGAAAGGCACGCTGTGGAGAGGGCGGCCCCTCCTTGGGGCTCTTGGCGCTCACTACGGGCAACACAGGGAGAAATCGGTAAAGCAACCTACCTATCCTGTATCCCGACCTGGGGTGCTCCAATCGACACCGAGGACCTTGAGCAGAGACCATCTGACCGGCAAGCGGAGACAGGGGTATTCAGACTATCACGACAGCCGAGGATCAGTGTGAAGACCTCACACATACCCAGCTCCCACCCGCAACCGTCTGACACTACCTGACAAGCCACACCAAAGCATCTTTATTCGAACAGAGCTGGAAAATACAGAACTGCGACCTGCCAGTGATGGGAGTTGGCTGTTCTCTGCATGAGGACTGGGGCTGCCTACTCTCTGCCACCTGACCAACAACCATCAAAATCAAGTTCCCCTCTTCTCGGGGAGAGAAGTCTCCGTTCGGAACCCAGGGTTCTTTGTTAAGCACAGTGGCATAATTTTTCTTTTTATATTTTAAGCAAACGCCAACCGTGCCATATTGCCTAGCATAGTTGTCTTCCTCACCTAATTTACTATAACTATGCTTTAAGTTTTTGCCTTTGTTTCATCTTTCAAGCCTGCTATAAGGCAGTGAAGCGCAGATCCAATATAAGTAACCTAACAGCTAAGCGAGACTAGCCTGCAAAAGAGTGTGTCATTCATAGATTAAAATGTAAATAGGATTATACTGCATGTATACATTCTGGTAGCTCGTGACACTGCATGCCAATTCTAAGTTTAGACAGAGCAGCGATGTTACCATATGTACCAAGCAAGCCTTAGTAGTTTTCAGCTAGCATGTTAGTCCCTAGGCTGTGAGATAAATCAGTATAACACATTACTAAACTCTGAGACAAGCAGATTTCTTTTGTGTAACTACGATCCATGGTTTAACCTTTAACATGTCTCCTATCTTGAATATATAAAAAAAAAACTGTGCTATGTATTACAATGCCATACCTATGTTAATGTATGTTTTCAAACCTGCTTGCACCTGCTATTGTGGCGGTACAAACATGATTGTTCAAGCTATGCACAAATAAAATAAAGAATTAAAAAAAAAAAAAAAAAATAAAATCAACGAATGCCGGAAGGGGAACCCTAGATGGATAAGAGGGCCCCAAGAAAGCAGACGAAAAAACAACCGGAGCAGGGCACAACGGTGTCGAACCTCTTTGCGGCATCCCGCGCCATGAGACTTACCACCCAAGATGGCAGACGGAATAGCCCTGGAGCACCTCGGTCTCCCACCAGCCCAGGATCTGGCATTGCACCTAGTCCACAGGAGACGGAAGTTAAGCAGATCCTGGCTACCCTGGCAGAAGTGAGAACTTACTTGGCAACGGAGATAGCCAGGAATACCGCCGAAGTCAAGGCGGAAATCCAAGCACTGGGAGCAAGGACAGCGGTCCTAGAACAGAGAGTGGAGTCCGCGGTGGAGGCCCACAATGAAGCCGCTGCACAAATCAACCACTTAACTACAAGGTTAGCGGCAGCTGAATCTGCGCTAGACCATCTGGGCAACCGCTCACAACGAAACAACATCAGGCTGCGGGGACTGCCAGAACAGGAGGGGGAAGGCTCACTAATGAAAGTAGTCTCCTCCATATTCAAACAGCTCCTCCCAGGCATCGCGGAGAACCACTGGCACATCGAGAGGGCACACCGGGCGTTAGGGCTCGACGGGCAAGCAACAACCGGCCGAGAGATGTCATAATTAAATTTCAATACTTTCAAACCAAAGAAGCCTTAATGCGCCGCGGCAGGGAAGGCCCAATTATACACAAAGGGGCGGAATTGGCCTTGTACCAGGACCTGACGCCGGATACCCTGCGGAAGCAACGAGACTGGTGCCCAATTACTGACCTACTTCAACAAAACTCCATCAAATATGCATGGAGCCGTCCGTTTTGGCTGATGGCCTTCAAGGAGGAGCGTGCTAAGATCCTGCACCCAGATGGTGATCCAGTGTCTTTCCTCCGAGAGTTGGGGGTGCAGGCCCCGGGAGATCTAGCGGTCCCAGATACTGCAGAAGTGACCGTGCACCCACTACCCCGCGATTGGTATATGGCGGGTGAGTGAGATCGGGGGGCAGGAGCTTCAAATTGGAGGCCGGTGAGTGGCGAGGCTTAACGGGTGGGATTGTTGCCTGTACTTGGGAGGGAGGATTTAGAGGTGTGCCGCCTCATTGGGAGAGTTGCAGAAGGCTTATGGCTTTGGCCATAATTCCCTGGGTCAGCCGAGGGGTCTCAATTGGAGGGGGTTCCGTCCACTGTTGGGAAGGTTAGGGCTTCCGTTTCCTCGAGAGGGGCCGGCTATCTCTCTCCCTTCTGGGGCTCCAAAGGGCGGTTAATCCTATTTTATTTTATTTACCCGGTTACCGACCGATGTACTGCGACCATGCCGGCCCATAGAAGGGATCTTGGGGTTCAGATGAAGGATATTGTATGGGACTTAATGTATGGCCAGGGGGCAAGGGGCAGTGGGGTAGATTGCAGAGGGCGGTGGTGGGGCATGTTGATAGTTTTTATTATGTTTACTGATTAAACTGTATATTTTTAAGGCTAAGCGCCTCTGAGATGGGCAATGGTTCGTAGCAATGTTTAATAATAGTAATGTATACCAAGGATGTCCGGAGGCTATTGTTAAGGTCGCTCCGAGCAGCTATAGGATCGCGGACATCCCCCATGCGTTATACTTTAAAAGGCACAGACTCATCGGCCTCCTGCCCCCTTCTATTTTGCATCTGGGTTTTATATTGGGGGTGTTCCTAACGTCCCCCTCCTGGAAGGGGTATGAAGGATATAGATTGGATGGGCGTGAGAGGCGGATGCCCCAGCTTTCTACATTTACTCATCCGCGCTTGTCTCCGGGGCCTCCCCTTGATCTGCTGGGCTCGGAGTGGCCGCATTCTGGCCCCGTACTCACCATACAGGGCAGACTCGGCTTGGGCGCATGCTCCCTTATCGGCGCCTACTAGCGCGGGGCGGATGGAGGGCTGGGGATACTGGAGGCCGGAGAGAGTGACCATGATTAATAACCCTTGATACAACATGACATGGCAGATTATAGCAAGCTGGGGTGCTGGAAAAAGAGGCTTTAATTAGCTTATGAAAAATTGCTATCATTGAAATAATTAGGTTGGTCTAGGTCCCTGACCCTGTTAAGCCTCTTCGGAGTTCTGGAGGGACAGGGACATACACCCCACACAAGCCTGTCTATAGGTAAGACCAGGCACTGGATGTACATAATGTTTTTCTTCTTCTTCTTCTTTTCCTACTTTACTGTTTCCCCTTTTCACCCCCCACCCCACCTCTCCTCCTATGCTCCGGGAGAGCGGAGGACAACAAAAGAGCAACACTCCTG